TAGTGACCACATTTCAATAAGTTCCCCACAATATCACCTTGTTCGTGATTCTAACAAGAATGATATATATGGATTTCAAATCGTATCATTTGCCGAATTGGGACAGTGATTGAACTATTTAGACCGGTGGTATTCAACCTCTTTTGTTCGCGTACCCCCAGATATAATTTCTCTTCAACTTTGTACCCCCAAAGTTGTTGGTGTATAATTCAAGTTATACGTAGTATATAATCTACATCTAAAATAAATTAAATAAATTACATTCAAAATAATGTATTAAATCTGGCTCTGATTATTCAGCGTTTATCATAAAGTAATTTTTTTTTAAATTTCACGTACCCCCTAAGATGTCTTCGCGTACCCCCAGATATAATTTCTCTTCAACTTTGTACCCCCAAAGTTGTTGGTGTATAATTCAAGTTATACATAGTATATAATCTACATCTAAAATAAATTAAATAAATTACATTACTGATTATTCAGTGTTTATCATAAAATAATATATATTTTTTTTAAATTTCACGTACCCCCTAAGATGTCTTCGCGTACCCCAGGTTGAATACCACTGATTTAGACCATTCAAGCTTTTGAAGTTGAAGCTCGTCTAAAAAAAATATTCAAGAATTCAGTCCGTACCAGAAAGAAAACGCAACACTTCGCCATTACAAATATCAATCAATTAATAATGTTTACGGAACTAATCACTGTTTATTAAGAGAATCGTTACAAACAGATACATGTAAACCGTGCGCAAAATCGCAGATTTAACGAATGTCTAAGCAAGTGGTACATATAGCTACCACCGTGCATACTGCCCTTCTACGCTAGCGGATGAAAAATGAACTTGGCCGTTCTTTTTTCCAAAGAGGTTCTGGCCCTCTTTCACAAGGCAGTAATCAATATATCTCGGCGCATACAACTTAAGAGGACTGAAATGCCTGCTTCGAGAGGCTCATCTTCATCTTAATGGAAACTGGTACACGAAACTAAATTCGAAGTTGGAAGAAATCACAGCTGGCTGGTTCTTTTCTTCAAGGAATACGGGAAGGGCTTACGTCACTTGAAGAACGGCAACCTCTTCAAATGACCTCCTTCAGCTACGGCTAACTTCAGATAGCAGGGATTCCCCATTGTCTGACATAAGTTTGTATACCACGTACGTCAGGAATATTTCCCAGAATGTTAATCATCAATAAATCGATTTATCGGCAATCGATTATAGTCAACCATCTTTAAAGAAGAAAACCTATTATTTTTAAGTGAGAATGAATCAAGTCACAGAATTTCATTTCATACAGCATTAATGTTAGGGACCAAGGCGTACTAAGGAGTTACGGGTTACAGGATCCCTTAAACGAGATTAGAATTTTTTTAACAAATGAGACGGGATTACTCAGTCAGTGTCGTGACTAATTACGGGCTGGACGACTGGGGGTTAGATTACGAAATGAATATTTTCTATATTTATATATATTGTTTAAATCTTGTCCGTCTAATCACAATAAATTCTTATTAAATATTAAAATATTACAATAATTAACATTTAAAATATTAAATGATGGTCTTTATCGAAATATTCGATTTACATTAGACCATCATTTTTCATGTTTCACATGATGGTCTAATGAAAAATAAAAAATGATGGTCTAATGTAAATCGAATATTTCGATAAAGAACATCCTTTAATATTTTAAATATTTTAAATGTTAATTATTGTAATATTTTAATATTTAATAAGAATTTATTGTGATTAGACGG